CCACCGAGCTGCCAACTCTTCCGCACTTCTCGTCTGCGAAATCCTCCGTTCGTTCGCAGCTTTCTGCTTTCTTTGTTGGGGGCCCTTCTGGTTTTGTTTTGATTCGTGCTTGACATCTTGGACTATTGCGTTTTCGTTGCGGATATGCGTTCAGGCACAGTTTAGGTCTCTATAAGTCGCCGCAGCAATTCCTTGACGAGGAAATAACGCCGGCGTGCTGGATTTCTCTGGTCCTGCATGCGGCTGTCTCGATTTCAGTTGGCATTACGACGTACTTAAGCCTGAATGGCGGCCAGGGGAAGCAGAGGCTGGCGTCAACGGCGCAAAAGACGGAATAATTCGACCCTGTACAGCACAAGCTTTAGCTTTCTACAAAACGATTGCGAAAACATCGTTTCGTTTCCCCCTGTACCCCGAAAACGGGCTTGCCTTTACTTAATACAGAGGCTGTAACGCCGTCCGATGCAGACAGCACAAGCACTAGGGCAGCCCATTTCTCTACGCTCGTATACATTTGCTAGTGCTTTGTTTTTCCCCGTTGATTTTTTAATTACTTATGGTGATTGGCGAGTGGCCTTGCTCTATAGGCTACTCATTCGTCGGCATACGCAGAACTTACGCGGAAAAAAAGATTTCGCTTTCTTTGACATCTTTAACTGTCTTTTTCTAAGTTCTGCGTGTGCTGGAGATTCATCAGCCTGTGGAGCATCGCCAGAGCTATCCCCCAGTCCTAACATGGCCATAAATTTTGCGATGTTCAAGCACGTCTACGCTACTTGTGAATTTTAACTGTGAACTGTAACACACTGCTCTTTGCCACTTCAGCAGAGAGGGGACCTCGGGCCCTGGTTTGCAGAACTGAGCGAGGCGGCTGCGCCGACAGGGCGACGAAATAGTGCCCTGTGCAAAGTGGAGTTAGGTGGTGACCTGGTTGCAGAATAACTTTCTACAGGGAAGAGCGCACTGCAATAGTATGTGGATGAAATTGCTCCACCTCCAGCCCATTCACTATAGAGTTACCCTTTTCCGCTACATGAACTTGCTCAGTCGCTAATTAAACCCAAATGTGTACTTAATCAAGGTTTGGGGACATGAGTTTTCCCGCAAAAGTTGGATTAAAACGCTGACAGAGTGCCTCGTGCCTTTGTCTATGTGGTGCGAAGCGACGGCATCACCCCTTTCGCTAACCCCTTTCGACGTTCTATGGCTCTTCAGGAAAACTTGGAGATGAGGTGAGCCCAACATATCCCCAAACCTTGATTAAGTAAACTCTGTGGGCGAATGTTCTATGTAAGACATTTTTTTAATGGTCCAATCAGCAAATTTAGGTTTTAATGTGTTGAATACCTCCCGCTATTCAGGAAACTACAAGAGATGAGCGTTGGCATCTCGACGCGGCCGACGGCAGCCAGCCAGACGGCTGCCGACCGTNGAAACTACAAGAGATGAGCGTTGGCATCTCGACGCGGCCGACGGCAGCCAGCCAGACGGCTGCCGACCGTGGGAAAGGATTGCGCCAGGTTAAGTATTGGGAAAGTTTAGTATATTTAAAAATATATTGAGAACTAAATTGGCATTAAATACAGTCTTTCAATGCTATATCTTTGCTGCTGGTGCGTTTACTGAACAGCTCTTAGACGCGCTAGGTAGCGGTCCACTGGACTTCGATGGTCCGTCGGCGGTGGCTAGTCTAGCTGGCTGTTTTGTGGAGGGCCTGAGTGCGTGTGCACGTATGCGTGAATGAATGACACTACTTACACTTGGCAAATACTGTTCTTTTCTAACTTTCTTGAATTTAGGTGGATTCTCTGTTTGGCCTTTCTTTCAGATTTAAGTTACATTTGAATCGGCCCAGTCGGCCGTCTCTCGAAAGGAAGGCGAAGATGGTGTTCTCAGCTCATGCTCGTCTCATACCACTCTTGTGGTGTTTATTCGGTTTATTTGCGAATAATTCCGTTTTGTTTATTCATGCACGAAGAACTCATGGCGCTGTTGTCCCCATCTCCTCCCTCACGCCGTCAGCCGACTTCGGCCAGCGGGCAGCGTACGTTTCCGGATCTTTTCTTTCGACGTCACCTCGACCAAGAAGCGCCTCTTTCAACTTCGGGTCCCCTGAAGAACCCCAGACACCAGAAGAGTCTCAGCCTTTGAGGCGTTCTCGTTCCCTATCGCTTGGAGCGGAAAGAAAGGCCCCTTCGGGAGTCTGGAGTCGCGAAGGCGAAATGCAGAACCAGCTGCAGCCCGAACCAGCGCAACAGCAGCAACAGGAGGTGAATCAGGAACAGAAAAGGAGGCTTGGTCGCATGGCTCGTCTCCGCAGGGCCATACGGCGCGCGGGGGGCGCAGCGAAAGAAAGGCTGGTGCGGGCGTGGCAACGCCTACGGCGCGCAGCAGCCCGAGCAAAACGTGCAGTCCGACGGGCAGCCGCAAATGTGTACCAGAGACTCCCCAGATTCCGCAGAGGCCGAAGGGCATCTGAAGGAGCAGAAAGAGCAGCAGCAGCCGGACTGGCGGGGGCTGGACTTGCCGCTGCTGCAACAGGCCTACCTCGCGGTGAGGAAGCCACTGAAGGAGCTGAGGCCGTCGAGAAGGAGGAAGCTCCCGCCCCTGAAGGCACTCCCGTCTCTACTGCAGCAGAAGAAACAGCAGCTCCCCCCTCCGAAGAAGCTGGACCCACTGAGGAATCGGAAGAGTGGCATGAAGCACCAACGCCTGAAGAGGCCGAAGCGGCAAGCGAAGAGTGGCATGATGCAGTAGGGCCTGAAGAGCTGGGAAGTCTCCTTGCCCGTGCACGTGATTCAGAAAAAATGAGAGAGGAAGAGATAAAACAAGAGGAACAGGAGGCTAGAGAGCATTCTATGAATGCTCGGTGCTATCATGTCATCCGCCGGATGACGCCTACGATGAAAAGACTGAACGAACAGTGGAGTGGACACTGCATGTTTTGGTCTTTGTTCATGCGAAATGGAAACTTCGGTACATTTGTTGACCTTTTGCAAGAACTAGCAGTACAGACGGGGGACGCGATCCAGAAAGCAGAACAGCTCAAAGGAACAGAGGAGGGTCTTGAGGCACAGATGCTGCGGACTACTCTTGTATTGGCACTGGCGGAAGACGAATTAGCCAGATTGGAGGATGAAACCAACGTGAACTGTTGGTTCATTGACCCCGACAATTTGTTTAGAAAGGCAAACGAAGAAGAAACGAAAGTTCTGCGTAACTTCAATCCTCTGACGTTTTTCGCCAACCCCCTTGATTTTACTCAGCCCCTGTCTAGGCTGATCAACGTCGTCTACGAAGATACCCTCACGTGCATTGATTCCGCTCAGGCGGAAAGGAACGCGAGACAGGATTTGCAACAAGTTTTGACATCCGAAAAACAAAAGCTGGAGGCCGCTGCGAAACAGACCAGCGAGTCACTGTCCGATCAGCAGATGAGAGACATGTTGCAAGCAATAGAAGAATTAGACCTTCTGAGGAGGCGCGAGTATTGTTCTATGGAGCAAGTGCACCTTCTCTCCGCCCAAGCCCGAAACATTCGGAACTTTATTGCCGATTACATGGAAAACGGCAAGAAGTGGTGGAAGGCCCAGTGGCCCTTCAAACTTCAGCAGTGCAGAGCTCTCCAGAAGGGAAGTTCCGCCGTTCCCAAAAGTGTAGCGAAGAGCTGCCGGGATTATGAATCGTCAAAACCTCCAAAGAACCCCAAGAGTGTCAGTGCCACCCTCCTCTGGATGTGGGAAGCAGGTTCATGCAGAAAGGAAGAGGAAAAATAGACGAACCTCTCAACCTTTACAAGCAAAGCCCTAGCTATTGTTTCAAAGAGAAGGAACAAGCTTCTTAACGAATTGCATTTCTCAACGGGCCGCCAAGACTCAGGAGACTTCCGGGAGCCTCAGGATGAAGCATCGACGCGACACCCCAAAGCTATCCTTCGTTGAAGCTTTCGGTCTTAAGGTTTGTGCATTCCCCTGTTGGGTTACTCCATGGATGTGTTATTTTATTTCATTCACTTGGGCTGCTGTGTGTGCTTATGAAATTTACGCGTTTTTTTTCGGCGGATGTGCGCCATCTTAAGCTTCACGCCTGCCCCTGTGATTATGCATGCCCCAATTCGGTGATTTTTTTGGTATATTTATGCACCGCCGTTATTGTTTTAACTAAGCGCTCATATCCAATCGGGCCCCTGTGCTGCAACCGCAGCCGAAGTGCCCGACTGGCCGCAGCGCAGTGCTGCCTCGGTCTCTGCCGAGCATATTTTAAAAACCAACAATGAATTATTTTAGGCGTCAAGTATTTAATTGGTAATTTAGGTGCTACAAGACAACCCCAAAAAGTTGTCGACTTCTACTTTCCAATATAAAGTGTAGGGAGAGAAACGCATACGTAAATAAAAGGATAAAGTGTAGGGAGAGAAACGCATACGTACACTAAAGGAGTGACTGCTACGCTTATTCGTGAAGAGCTGACTGAAGACTGCCATGCACAGTACAGGAGAACAACTGAAGGCTTTTCATCCGTAAATACGCGTTCGCTACGTATTCACGGATCAGGAGCCTTCAGTTGGACAGAGGAAACTCGGGGGTCCCTTGAACGTATAAAGTTATTCTTCTGCTTTGCCCATAACAAGAATATACGAATAGATAATTCACTACCTCATTCAGTTACGCTTCTTCCTATGTAACCAACAGCCGCCGACAGCCAGACCACTGTTTTCACCGCTGTCAGCGGCGACTCAACTGAAAGCCAGCTCTGCGTATCTGTCGTTAAGAGCCTGCCGAGCATGTTACTAGTCAGACTAGCATTAAAGAAAGCAGCTAAAACTTTTTTAATGTATGACCTGTGCGACGGGTCTAGTTTGATCGAGAAAAGCGGGTGCGCTGACTGGAGGCGGCTGAGGCGGCGTAGTCGTTTGCCCTCCCCCCATAAGGACCTCTGCGCTGTCAGCCTAACTATATTTAATTTATTTTTATTCCTTCCCCGTGTATTTCTGTAGTTCCCTTCCGTGCTGCACAATCGCCTCCGTCCCGGAGGCTTGGTGTATTTACATTACATTTACAATGTGATCGTTGTATGATTTCATACAGCGAAGGCACCTGTACTAGATAGTAAGACTAATATTAGAGCAAGTGTAGTGCCATACGAAATAATCCGGTGCCGGTCCGTTCAAGCGCTCGAGAGACATCACTGCATCGTTTCTCCTTATTGACATTATAATGTGGGCCTGCGTTGGTTGTGGTAGCATAAGCACGACCATGTCTTCGGTTTCACTAAACTATATTTTTATTTGATCACAACCGAGGGGAATTTGCCTCATTAGTTCCCACGATTGTAATCCCGAAATTCCGGGCATCCATCTCTCCAGCAAACGTGGAGCGGAACCCCAGGGTATCCCAACATAACTATCAACAGAGGAGAGTCAACTTGGAGTTTTGTATAAAACAATATGTATTGAATGTGTGACAATGGGGCAACATGGTTTTGCTTTGCATTTGTTCGGGTTTTTCCATGGTATCTCAGACTATAGCTACAGGCGGAAGGGTCGGCGAGTGGTTCAGTGGGCGTGCGAGCCTGCAGCACTCGATGCAGGAAACGCAAGTGAAATAAAACAGTTCCATATAACGATACTGAATTGAGCATTCAAATTGACGAATCATCTCGAACGCCAAGAGGCGCTCCTCGGTGAGGTGGCCGCATATTCGTCAAAGCTCTTACTGAATACTGATTAAAAAAAAAAGTAGGAAACCATGCATCACGTGGCATCTTCAGATATAGGATGTTTCATGGCCTTGATGCGAAGGGAACGAGCGAACTTTGCCTAAGTGTTGAACACCGAAGTTCCGGTGTACGTACAAATATATTTCGTTTCAAACGGTGGGCGGTGCACCGCCGCCCGGTGTACACGAAATGTACAAGTGGAATCTATAAAAGAACATGTATCTATGGCTAATAGTTCTAGCTGTGTGGAGCTTATGTTGGCCGCTAAGTTCGACTGGCACAGGAGAAACGGCTCGTGGCGCGTTAAGTCAAACTGCAACAGCGGGGGAGAGGGTCGGAGCCACAGCGCTCCAGCGCTCCACTTTCCTTGCGAATATGTTAGCCGCACCACCCAACATTGCACTGAAAGTGCAACCCGCGAGAAGTCTTCGGTTTAGCAAGTCGCAACTGAACGGCCTTTTGGCAGACTTGCGGCATGAAGTGAAGGCTCAAGTACGTGGACACGCAGCACAACACACTTCTTCTGCCGGCGTATGCATTCAACTTGCCAATGAACTTAATCCTGCAGGTGGAGATTCTAGAAGGTATGTTTCAAAGGATTCAGCTTAAGCTAAGCAGGAGCCTGAAAGGATAAAACTCAGGGGAAATGGCCGAGGAGGAAAGACGGCGACAAAAAACAGCTTCGACATGGGCCGCTCATGGCTCACCCATTTGGGTACCAAAAGAAGGTATAATCAGTCTATAAAATTTTTGCTTTGGGCATTCCCTGTGGATCCGAGTTGCGGCGTATGTACAGCTCGAGGAGCCTCGGCAGGAGTTTCAGGGGCAGAAATGAGTTTCGTAGGTTCACAAAACAAATAAACAAAGACCCGTCATCTTCTGAGCTGTGTATGTATCCCTGTAGCTGCAGCGGGGAGACGGGAAACAGCCGCGATTCGCTGCTACTTTTAGCCCGGAATTGCCGCCCCCCCTCGAGCTAACCCATTCAGATAGGCCCCCTGAAGAAGAAGAGGTGGGCCTTGTGTTCTGTTTACAATTGTTTTCCCAGGCGTATATACAATAACGTTGATAATATACGGTGCGCTTACAGACGTTGCTCGGCTCTGCTGAGGCCGCAGCAACGCAAGCGGCAGTCGTTACCGAGGGTGAGCACGACTGCAGTCAGAGCCGTCATCTCTCCCCCTCATGAAAAGTATCATATATAGGGCCACTCAACGTCAGACAATTCATCGAATGATGAACTTCACGCTCCTGCTTGAATGCTGGGGCTGTATGGTGGCCTTTGGCACGGCGGAGAGTGCCTAGTCCTGCTGGCGGGTTGGTTGCGCGCAAGGACACCAGAAAATGAACAAATGAAAAAACAACCAAATAACCACACAAAAATAAACAACAAACAGAAATAAGAAAGTAGATGCACGAGCAGCTGTACAATAGATAAACGCCGATAGAGAAAACAATTGGGGCAAGCAGCCTATGTCCATACATTTACCCTCGTCGAACCTCTTGCGAATGCGAGCGGAGGCCTAGACAGACAAAAGGCGACTATAGCTGCATACTCTTTTAAGCTATTTGAATTCATTCATCGAGTCTTCTCGTGATAGTTGTGGGGCGGAATGCGGCAGCAGGGCCAGTGGTCCGTTGTTTGGTTGTTTATTTATTTTTGCTGCTGTTGGTTCGTGTTTCTTTGGTCCTTGTATTGTCATGCTTGATGCTTGCGTCTTTCATTTTCTCCCTTGAACGTATGTGAGGCGCCGTTGTTCTCACTTTAGCTGTTGTTGCTGGTGCGGCTGCTGCTGCTGCTCCCGGTGCGGCTGCTGTTGTCGCTTCCGTTGCCGCTCCTCTCCGTTCCGATTCGGACGCTACTGAAGCTGCCGTTGCTTGTACTTTTTTTGCTTCCCTTATTGCTGCTGCTTCTTCGTGTAACGGCTGCTGATGCGCCAAATCGCTCAGGTGGGCCTGCGGTGTCGCGTGTACGGTGGGCGGTGCTGCCGCTTCCCTTTCCTTTCTTTGAGGTATTTGATTCAGCTCTTCAGCTGCTTCAACGTAGTGAGCGGAGGGTATACCACCTCTGTATGCTATTGGGGCGCCCATTGTCGGTGGCACTGGGCTGCCTGGGCCCGCACCGCTGGTGCCGGTGATGCGCCAAACGTCGTGACCGTTCGTGCGGCCTAGGTATGTGTAGTGGGGTTGCCTCTGTGCTGCCATTCTTGCTGCTGCTTTTCTTGCCCTTTCTCCAGCCTTTAGAAGCGCCAAATCGCGCCTTTTGCGCTGTCGGCGGACCAAGCGTCGCATCCGAGACAGTCTCTGATACTCTTCAATCCGCCGCCTNACTGCAGCCACAATGACCGCGGCAATTATTGGTACATAATTTTTGAATGAAAAGATGCCAAACTGAGCTCCGAAGATGCGGACGCCGACGTTCATTCTTCTTCAGTCCTGAAGAGATGGTATCACAAGAGGAACTAGACGGGCGCAAACCAGAAGCCGCCCCAAAAATAGCTTAGTATGAAGCTTTTTACATGGAAATTTTAAAGTGAGGCCTAGGTGGTGATAAGTAAGCGATGATTAGCCAACCCAGTGACAGCTTGCTAGTGTCCCATCGCTGGAGTAGAACCAGGCCTCCAACCATCAGGCCGGAAGACCGCCGTGTGGCACGGAAGGACACTACAAAAATACAGAGGGGAGAAGCATAAGGAAATTAAAAACAATTAACTCGATAGCACATGCACCGACTTCTCCACTGGGGTGGGTTTCGTCTTCCGCAGCCGCTGTTGACGCCGGTAACCGACGCCACCGCCTCCAGTCGGCGCACGTACCCTGCACGATGAAACTGAACCGACCCCACGTGATATACATTAAAAAGAGTTAAATGTTACTTT